TATTGCGGCTCCATGAGCCGCAAAGCTATTCAAATGTTTTGGGTACCCGGCATATACGGTGTTGGTTTTGCGGCTCACTGAGCTGCATGCGCACTGGCACACTGAGTTTCAATCTAGATTGTAGATGGTTTGCAGGCGCTTTGCAATTTCAAATTTGTACCGGTCTGCGTCTTGTCACCAAACGGTTTGAAGCATGGCTGCTCCTACCATCCTGGTTGAGGAGTCCCAGATGGCTGATGGTTTGCCAGAGACCCAGGTGTACTCTGACTTTCCAGTCCCACCGACGCAGGTTGCTGAGCCTGAGAAGAGTGACACTTGGCCACATGATGCTCAGCCCACAGACACTTTCATGAGTGAGGAGAAGGCTGGCGAGAAGCCTGAGACCGGTGAGACTGCTCTCACTGGCCCTGCTCAACCTGAGCCCGATAGGGAAGCTGAGGTGCCTGCTGCCCAGCCGTCGCAGGGACTTGTTCGGCAAAATGCTTTTCTTGAAGAGCAGGAGGCCTCAGATGAAGTTGACTCCCAAGTGGTGATTTGCAAGAAGCGTCACCTTGAGCAGGACATCAACACCGTTGTCATCCGTGGTCCTCGCGAAATGTGGTGTCGGGCATGCAACAACTTGTACACGCTTTTGCGCCGCAATTTGGCCTGGCCTCCGGCCCAATTTGCTACCATGAGCGAGGAACAGCAAGCTCAGTTCTGGGCCCAGTGCCAAAAGGACCGTGAGGAATCGATGAAACTTTTGCTATAGCCGCGTCAAGGACACGCTGACAAAGGTGATGGCCGAAGAGCAGGTCAAGCAGCGGCGCTTAGAGGTAGGGGGCACTTACCTGCCCTTGTCAGTCTATGCAGCAAAGGGGTACACCATCGACGCCGACTTCGAGTCCAGGAACGCAAGGCAATGGTCAGATGGGCTCCAGTGCTGGACCTATTTACTCAATGAGGTGTCGGTATCGGAAAGCGATATCCACTCCACAGTGGAACGCACCATCGTGGAGGCCGAGCGCAACGTGAGGAAGCGCAAGGCTGCCGTCATGAACGGAGATGAGGACAAGAAGAGTGTTGCAGCTTCTTCCACCGATAATGTCATGGACTTGGTGTCGGAATCTGAGGGCGAAGGCTCGCCCCAAAGCAGATTCTAGACATATCTCTCTATATATTTGGAAGTATGCATGCATATACTGTCTATATAGTACTTCATGAAAGTTCATGTCTATAGCACTTCAAGTTTTGTTTCAGATGCATGCCCACAGCGCTTGCAGGTGCTACAAAACCAAAACCACCGGCGCCGGAGGATTAGAAGAATCTGACGCCCAAGCAGATCGAGGCCGCTTTGAAGCGAGAGGCAGCCAAAGCTTCGAAGGAACAGGCCGCAGCCCAAAAGAAAGCTGAAGCAGAGCGAAAGAAACATGCCAAGACCACCACCAAGAAGGCTGTTTCCTTGGCCAGCAAGGTTGGTGTGCCCCTGGCCAATGCTTGCAAAACGGGTGAGGACCTGGTTCAGAAGGCTGTCGGCAAAGGGCTTCAGGATGAGGAGGCGGTCAAAGACTACGGCGTGATCCTCGAAGAGCTGAAGGAGTGGAAGAAGGCTGCTTCGAATGCCCTCGCGTTCTACACCAAGAACCCTGGGCGTGAACTCAATGCGCTGCCCTTCGAGAATGACAAGGCCTGCAACAGCAAGATCAAGGACTTGTCGTCGGCCGCCAAGGAAGTCAAGAAGCTGTTGAGCGCCACCACCAAGAAGGGCGCCAGCCAAGGTGGTGCCTGATTGGTTTTGCCTTTATGGGTTGATCTGTTGCCATGAATGATTGGCTTTGATCTGATACCATCCTTTTGGGATGATGGTGCAATTCGGGAAAGGGGTCGTGTGACTTACACATGCCTCAAACCTGAGGGACGAAGCGAAGGGGAACGGAGAAAGTATGCTGCGCCTAAAGCTTTACCTGCCAATGTGTTGTTTTGCGAACGGCTCAATGAGCCGCCCATGCTATATAATACCATTATCTATCAAAAAAGATCATGGCAGGCGGCTCACTGAGTCGCCGCTTGAAGGTTCCTGATAGCTGCCAAGGCGTTCCTTTTTTCCCACAGTTGGACTGACCATTGTACATATATTTTATATTTATGATTTAGCGTTTTTGGGCCGAGCCTATGCCATCCAAACCCAAAAAGAAGGCGAAACTCGCCACTGCTAGTAGCGCTAGCCATGTGATAGAAGAAACCCAGGGACTACATAGCGTGTCGGATGAAAGTCGAAGAGTCATATACAATGCAACTTGTAAAGCATTGGACCTGGAGGAAGCTTCGTTGGACAAGAGTTCTTGGCAGAAGCTGAATAGTAAGGCTGTTCCTGACATCTTCTACCCGGTGGAACTGCCAGGTGTTGAGGCTGGTAAGCCCGTTACTTTTTACATGTCTGACGTGAAAAAGTGCATCAAGGCCGTCATAGAACGATGCCCCAACTATGGCGAAAGGACTGAACAGCTGCTGAATCATCGTCCTGAAACAGTTTTTCAGATGCTGCTTTATAACGACGAGGCTAGCGGAGGCAACATCTTGGCGCCTAACTCGGGCAAGAAGGCCTCGCTATGGTACTTTTCTTTGAAGGAAGCTGGCTTCTTATGGTCAGACACGGTCTGGCATCCATTGAGCCTTCTGCAGCATCAACAGTTTGAACAAATTCAGGGAGGGTTTTCAGCGGCGGTGAGGAAAATCGTTCTGGAGCTAAACGGTCAAGACTTGAAACACGGTATCCCAGTACAGTTTCCAAACCGTTTGGGTCTGGTGCGTCTGGACTATCGCTATATGATTAGCGATCTCGACAGTATACGGTATGCCTTGGACGCCAAAGGTTCTGCTGCCATTAGGCGCTGCGTTTTCTGTAAGAACTGCATCAAGAAACACACCAACCTTGAACACTACAACGACTTCTTCGAGGACATTACCTCTCACCGTCTTGAGCGATTTCACCGGCAAAGCGACAGCGAAATCTTTAGTGTCGTTGACAACTTGAGTGCTGTTGCACCGAATGTATCCAGGGCAGCCCTGCAAAAGAAAGAGATTGCCTGCGGCTTCAGGTTCAATCCTGCGGGTTTGTTGAGCGACCCTTTGGCGCGTGATGCTCTGCCACCGAGCGCCTTTCTTCTAGACTTTATGCATTTGTATTGGAGTTGCGGGATCATTTCTTGGGAAGTGAACGCACTTCACGCCAAATGGAGTGAGACCGGAATTGGCGATCTAGAGCAGTTCTTGTCCATGGAGTGGCGCACTTCCGTGCAAAGCTGCACGCCATCTTTTCGAAAGCGGCTTGTGGCGCCTTTAACTTTGAGGGTGCCGTGTACAAAGGGTCCGCTTCGAACTTAACAATGTTTTTCCCACTATTTCACTACTTCTTGTCAAGAGTTCTTGACTCCAGAGGGTTGCTTATGAAGGAAATGGAAAGTTTCAATGCGTTGCGACGCATCAGCATTGAATTACGGAGCATTGCTGGGAGTTCTGCACCTCTTGCTACTGAGCGGCTACAAGAACTACAAGTCGCACATCAGTCTTTGGTTGTTGAAGTGTATTCTGAGAGCTTTGTGAAACCGAAACATCACCAACGGTTTCATGCGGCTGAGCAGTTGAAACAAACCGGCTTCTACGTCGACTGTTTTGCGATGGAGCGAAAGCACAAGCAGTTCAAGTCGCATATCGGTTTGCACCGTTACGACCCAAAAGTGCAAGAGGACAAGGGTGAGTTCAGTCATTTTGTTCAGCGAGAGATATGGAAGCATCACATCACTTCATTGGCGGCCTACCAGTTTGGCACCGCATTGCAGGGTGCACAATCTTCATCGGAGACCGTTGGGCAAAGTCTTGGGGAAAGCAACTGTATGGTGGCAAAGAAGGTCCTTCACAAAGGACATACTTATTCAGAGAATGATGTGTTACTGGGGGCGCACCCCTGCACGGTTGACTCAGCAGTGCAAGATGGCACGGAGTTCTATCTCCTTATTCAGCCGCTTGAAATCGAAGAGCGGACAGAGTTTTGGAGCTCTTGGCGTGTTACTGGCCGGAAGCGCTTGCTGCACATTTCCTTGGCCGGGCGAAGTCCTACATGGTGGTTGCAGCTGGACGCAGAGAAGCTGCTTTGCCTTCACTGAAAAATATGTTTTAATGAGGTTTGAAATGCTTATATATGGCTCGGCGGCTCAATGAGCCGCCAACGTACTTGTCATGCGTGGGGTACTTTAGCTCTGAGATGTTCTATAGTCTACCGCTTTGTATAGGCGGCTCAATGAGCCGCCAACATGTTTGCTTGTCATATGTTCTATAGTCTATAGCTTTGTATAGGCGGCTCAATGAGCCGCCAACATGTTTGCTTGTCATGTGTGCAAAACGAAAATTTAGTTTTTCTCACAGCTGCCTGCCCATCTCAAAACAAAAATTTATTTTTCTAAAAATTTAATCTTTTAAAAAAAACTTGTTTGAGACTATACTTTTGGTCGTCGAGGAACTTACAGAACTTATAAGTTAGTTACAAGTAATTTATACAACTTACGGTTATAATTAAAAAACTAATAAAACCTAAGTTCCCTAAGTACTACTTACAAGTTGCTTAAATCCTATAAGTGTCTTAACTAAGTTGCAAGTGCCACAAGTAAAAACGAACCACCAAGTAAGTGAGAACGGCGAAAATGGCAGCGAATGCCACCAACGTCAAGCAACTCCATGTCCAACTGCAAGTCACATCGAGGGGAAAAGATGTTGACGTTGGACTTTCTGAGCTTGCATTCTCTCCTTTCGTCTCTCCCTTTGTGCTCTTCTGATCCCTGAGCGTCTTTCTTCTTCTTTCTCATCATCAGCAGTCTGGATCAAGCATATGGTGCCTGTGGCCTTCAGGGTCTCCAGGAGGACAGCCGGCATGTCCTTAGTCAAAGGATCCGCCAACTGACGCCAAGTTGGCGTCCAGCGCAGCCCCACCACTTCATCTTCTATCAGCTGTTTCATCAGCATCATGTCGAGGGCTGCCTGTCGTTCTGTCGCTATTCCTCCTGTTTTGTGCAAATGGTCGTGAAGACCTTTTGCATCAGTAATCAGACATCCAGGTGTCTGAATC